CACTGTCTTACCAAAAGTTTTCCTTAACTACTTGAGGCATTCAAATGCGGCTTCTCCTAACCACTAGGAACAAATTTTTGCCATTTCCCAAGCCATAACTGCCGAAAGCTGAAAGGTCAATGAACGTTTAGCCGGTTGTGTTATACCTGAGCAACTTGACGTCACTGTCACTGGATTGCTATCCCAAGTGGAGGCAATGCGTCCTTTGCTAAGCACTAGCCCTTGATCCTTGGCTTCGGCTTTCGGCCAAAAGAATGAAGATTCTTTCGTTTGATTATATCGCGTCCTTAAGCTTTGGCCAGGAATGATAAGTATTATAATAGCTACTCATTGCCAGTTTTCCGTGAGCATTCGATGGCCACAATTTCATGAGTGTACCTTCGATGCTTCGAGCAATCTATGCCTCGTAACCTTTTTGCACATTGTGGTTAAAGTGGTTCAGTGCAACTTCATTTGAATGGGACTCCATCCAGCGGTCAATCTGTTCAAGACCTTTCACAATAGAGCCTGTGTAGCCACAGTCAATTCCGCAGTGGCAATTCAAGGCTTCGCCTTTATTGTCTTTATAGCATTTATCTACGTCAAAATAACGTATACCATACTCTAACTGTTCGGAGTAGCTCTTGTCATGGTTTCGAATGGAACAAGAAGTTGCTGCTCCACCACTGGCCCGAATAAAGAAGGCCATGAAATCCGGATCCTGCATTGTGACTGGCAGGATATGTTACTTGATCAATTCGTAAATCGCATAGATCTGGGAGACGATTACACTCCTTAGCAACCAGCGATTCACATTCCCTCAACTGAAAAAAAAATAATTGAGTAAATTTTATTGCGTACTTATTCTCATAATTATTGGTGTTCTATATCATACATGCATCGCTAATTTTTTTAAAACCGCGAACAGGAACATCCTTCATTATTAATTATTTTTTTCCCTGCAGGTTATAAGCGGAGATAATTAGAATGACTTAGCTTCCCTTTTTACGCAATGCGTACTTATTTTTCGTAAAAATAACACGCACGGCTTATTGTTCTTGAGGTATTGTTTTTGAGGTATGTAAATAACACAGGACATCGTTGATATACATATAAGAGGTAAATTAATCCACGACTGCTTGTGGTCCGGCGGAAGTTATATAGGGATGGTCATAAAAAATATCAACTACTCAGCCCCGGCCTGTCATTCTAGCTAAGGTCTACGTTAAACGTTGCATTTTGGTCGCGTCCAGTGCAATAGATATATGATGATAAATCAAATTATTTGAATTGCATTCGACACGACCAAAATATGCGATGTATAAACGGGCCTAAGTCGTATTTACCATGCAGTGCAGGAAAGTCACATTTTTTCCTCGGCAACCCTAGTTTAAATCCGCGCAAACTCATTGAAAGCGTTTATTTCTTTCTTGTGTAATTGGAAATCCCTACTAATTTAGGAACGTCCATCTTATACCTTCGCTGAAATAAGAATAGCATGGAAAAAATCGCAAAGCGTAAAAACTCTGCACACTTTTTTATCTCATTGATAATCATTAACACAAAGTGTATTGGTTAACAAATCTCTACTAGCTTGAATGTATTTTGCTTGACATATCTCAAAACCCAAATATTAATTAGAAATAACAAAAGAACAGCTTTTTTCTTTAGTTCGCTCAAATCAGTCAAATGATGTAATATCATAATCTTTCTATACAATAAATATATAAAGTATGCTTTAAGGAGAATTTTAGGCCATCGCACTAAACATGCAATTTATATTTTACCTTGCTTGAAGAATCCGTTCCTATAATGCTTTATTCAATGCCATATTATCCATATTGTTTTTTATTGTTTGATCAACTATGTGTAACTTTCATTAACCAGGTATGGTATCTAGGGGTAAGGAAGGGGTAAGACGCGGAAGCAGAAAGAGGAGTAAGACGCGGAAGCAGAGAAAAGGGTAACACGCGGAAAAGAGGGTAAAATGCGAAGAGGAGGGTAGAACGCCGAAAAAAGGTTAAAAGCGGAAAAAGGGGTAAGATGCGGAAAAAAATAAAACGCGGAAAAAATGGTAAAACGAAGATAAAAAAGGGTAAAACGCGGGAAAGCGCTTGCCGTACGGCGAAAGCTAAGTACTGTTTACATAACGCGCAATAAATTTGGTCAAAACATCTATCCACCTTCTGTCAAATTTACCCAGTGCGAAGCCCACCTTCAAAATGTCCTAAAGCATTCTCTTAACGAAGCAATTACTGACGAACCAATGGAAATCCAGTGGCGTAGGCAGCCCGACAATTTAGTCATGCTATGCTAATATTTTGGTGTTCATCGACTGTGAAAACACTGAATTTCTAAAGAAATGAATAATGATAATAACATAAATTTGCATAGCATGACTAAATCGTCAGGCTGGCTACGCCACTGTGGAATTCCACCAAAGACCATGCTATAATATCGAATACAACATAATTATGCAACTCCACCAAATACGTATGGAAAGAGTTTTGCTCTGGTCATGAAGATATAGATTTAATGCCACAATGACAATAATCAAGGATCTTTCTTCTCAATTATCACCAAGTTCGCCTTACCACATCTCAACAAGGTCTGTTCATCAGCTCAAACAAAACTTCCTAAAAGCATTTATAACTTTACCACACGCTATATAAACAGTTTTCTTTCCACGCGAAAAAATCTTTAGAGATAGCGAATGTTTTCAGGTTCATGTCTCAACCGATCAATATACTGCATGTGGTCGCTGGTTGTCAATTTTCCCGCCAATACTGTACAAACTACATGCAGTCGGTTTTGTTGAAGCCAGGTGGTTTCAAATATCCATCTAGTATCCTAACTATTAATTCGTATCATCCTGATCTACTAATATCACACCCGGATGGCACCCTCTATGTGGTTGAACTGACTGTTGGCTATGACACAAACCTTTACAATAACGTTAAGCGGAAAGGACACAAATATAGAGAACTGGTAAAAGAAAAAAGGCAGAATTTTGTGACGTTTTAAATTAATTCATCTCTCAATAAGTTCAGGTGTTTTTAAAAAAAATAGACAAATCTGTAATAATCAAATCCAATAATTATATGGTCACCTTTGTGTTGGAACTATCTGTTTTAGGTTATAATGGATCAAAAGATCATGCACATCCCAATGATTTAAATCAGCAAGGATTTCAACCCATGCCAGTCCTTATGGAATAGCTTAACCAAATCTGTTTTATCTATGATATTATAGGATACAAGATCCCTGTGTTTTTGTACAACGGTATCCCGCGGGTAGTATAAAACACAGCAAATTAATTGTCTTGAAAGACGATAAGGGCGTAAAGAGATCTAAACTTACATGCACTAAAAAGCCTCATTCTCTAGGTCATATCTTCTTTAAGGCTAATTTCCACTCCGAAAAACGAGCAGCGGATCGGATCGGACTTTTTCCCGAGCTTCTCCGATCCATAAAGTGATTTCGGATCGGATAAAAAAAGTTAAAAATATTTGAACTTTTTTTATCCGGTCTCGGACGCTTTCGGATCAATATAAGCCAAAAATTTCAACAGATGGTGCACGCGCGGATAATCTTTCGTTCCGATCCGATCCGCTGCTCGTTTTCCGGAGTGGAAATTAGCCTTTACATGGTATATCGGTAGAGAGGAAGGCAGATACAACCACCTCGAATGTAGAACCTGTCGTTTCGAAAGATCTGATTCCTACTTATGGATATTATTTAATCATTTATTCCATGGCTGTAAATCACGTCTTTTTAATAGCAACAAATTCCAGCGACTCCATATTTTAAAAGAACTGACAACTTATCATTTTTTAGGTAACAGTGAATGCGTATTTATAGATAGTATGATAGGCATACTTAGGCATCTCGAATTTTCCTCAAATTTTCGGTGGTGAAAGATAAATGAAATTTATGTTTTGGATGTGGTCAAACAGGACTTCTCAATTGTGGGTTACATAAAAAGCATATTTGAACAATTCTCTCCTTATTACTTAGGCGCGACACCATATTGAATTTCTAAATTAGCGCATGCTTGCAAAGATCCTTTTGGTCTGCACTTCTGACCATGCCGTAGTGAATTACATAATGATTGATTCCTTCTTTTCATGAAAGAAACTCTGATAAGACTCTGGAATTTTTAATATTTTCGGGCATCTAGAGCAGAAAAATTTATACAATGTTTTGTTCTACCCCAACTAAGGTGGAATCTCGTGGAAGCCCTAAGCACATTCCATGCCTCTGAAGTGAAAATTGTATCAATTGGACCGTGGCTTTTAACCGAACGCTTGGTTTTCATTGGTACATCGAAACGGGCAATTTTTACTGTAATAGGCTGCCCATATATTAGACAGTAGCGTAGCCAGCCTGACAATTTGTCCCACTGTGCTATCATTTCTGTGTTCATTGACTGTGAAAACAATGAATTTCTAAAGAAGTGAATGATTATAACTCAAAATTTACATATTATTTAATTATTATTATTTAAACATATCTAAATAGGATAACCTCTTCAGTTAAAAGTAACTGCTATCAATAAGGGTCCTGGTAGCGGGACAAAATCGTCAGGCTGGCTACGCCACTAATATAGTGGTAATTTTAGCGACTATATTTAGGTTGCTGAAGGATTAGAATTTATTTTTATTAGGCTGTTACCACCCTTTTGTTGAACAGTAATGTTGTTTATTAGTAAGCTTTTCGGTTAAAACTGATACAAACACTACAAAAGTCGGTCCCAAAACGTAAGATGTACCCCGATATTTTTTTCATGTGGCGATATAACCTTATTAAACGAAAAATGGTGCAATATAATCAAATTAATATTTACATACATTTCTACCGCTTTTATAACTTTTCACTTCTCAATACAGGACGGATATAGATAACTGGTAAAACCTGCATCTTGAATAATCTAAAATCGCTGATTATCTAGTTAAATACAAAGTTTAAGTACATTGTTAGAAGTTGCGTGCCCAGGTGTGTTTTGCTTCTGTTTCTTATTATTAGACCTTGATTTCGCAAACAAAGTGCCTGGAACTGAAACAATTTACGTCATTCCATTTTCCGTCGTTGATGCGCAAGGCGACACAATCTTCCTCTCCCTTGCGATCATTCGGTTCGCCACGACCCCAATTTTTGTAGGATGGTTTAGTTCCATCGACAGTTTCAAACTTGTTTTCCCGATTAACTCTGAACAGACCAATATAGGGGTGACGAGCGATTTGATTTTTTATCTCATTGAAGATAAATCGATTTTCTTCAGCATTTGTTGGTACAGCCAAGTCGCCGCCTTGTGAAGTACAGTTCTTCCTCGCCGTGGACGAAGATGATGTAACATTACCACTGATATAGTAGCAACGACCATTATATTCTTTCCAATTAAGCGGGCAAGTGGGGGCTAGAGAAGATATAGAATGTTTATATATCACATTCGATCATCGTTTACAATTCCTGCAGCGATTTTCTTCTTTTGACAGATGGAAACAGGCAAAAAGGTTATCAATGCTCTAATGTTGCAAAAAAATTAAAAATGCACGCAATTTGCAAATAAAACAGTGACTGATGAAAAGAGAAGATTAAACCAGAAAAGATTGCGACCATTGATGTTACGTTCTATGTGTGATGTAGTTTTATTTTTCTCAATAAATCAAACGACATTCCGCAGATACTGAGCTTCCCAAAATGTATATGTATATATGAAATACAGTCTTGTGAACTGGCGCTGGTTTCTGCAGGGGGGGGGGAAATATAATAGAAAATTTGAAAATGGATTACCAAAATATTAAGTATAAAACTACAACATGAGGTTGAAGAAGAGAAAATTAGTGTGGTCCTGCGAGCTGTATTTACGGTTATATCTCCAAAAAAGAAATTAATTGTGCTTTCTTGTCTTCGCCTGTGGGAGGTCATTGCAAAGTTTAGCACAACTGTACTTAAAGCGTTTCTTCCTGAAATGGCGTCTCGATTTTGGAAGGGACAAATCAGTGGAAGTGGACGATATAAGTCATCGTCAGAAAGAAAGTAACAACATTAATACGAGATATGCCGATCAAATCAGGGAAAAAAGTTATAAACTGTATGAGACGCAAAACAAACATAATAAAGGATAGTAATGATTTTCACTTTTTAAAATTGACTCCTATAGCGGGTGAATACTCGAAAAGAACAGACATAGTCGCCAAGCCTAAAATTTGCCTTAAAAAGTTAACTTTTCAGATGCTGTTGCATAACTAAAACGATAAATAGGGGGGGGGGTGATATTCATATAATTATGCAGTTCTGCCCTACGGATTCCTTTTGTAAGTGCAATGGATTAAAAAAGAAATCCGTCGGGCAGAACTGAATATAATTATTATGAATATTCTCTTCCCCCCCGCCATTATCAATCTAGTTACGCTCTTGGCAATCTGCAATGGTAGCCTTATCCGTGTACAATGTTAATGCTACGACGTTAATGAACGTTGTGTAATAGCCTTGAATATTCTGTATATTGTTGAACGTTGTGTAATAATTATTCCGGCGTCAGCGATGGAGTTGAAAATTCGCCTCGGTTTTTTTTTTTTTGTATTTTATATTTTATATTTTTTGTATTATTTTTTTATTACTTTTCGTTTTCGCAAGTGTGTTTTGTTGCGACATATGTTTATCGATCAATCGCGAACCGCAAATCCCGGTTTGACGTTTAAATTAATTTCGCTGTTTGACGAGTGCAGTTATTCATCAATTTGTCATTAATGGCAATTTTCATTTCACATTACAACCCGAAAACGCATATTGGATTTTAACCTTTTGGCAGCATTTGATACTTAGTTTAGAGCAACATGAGACTTAATTATTTCACACATGTGCGGAACAGGAAGGGAAGATTTTGTTTGGGGAAGGAAAAATCCTGGATCCGCCCCTGCGAAATTCGGAGAAAAAACCAAACATTTAGGCATATTTGCGGAAAACAAATGGCAACGAAACATTTAGGAAAAAATACAAAGTCTGCTCTCATGATAGTATATGTAAGAAGATTCAAGCGCCAAGTAAGTAACTTACCCTTTGAAGAGCCATCGACCCTTGAATCACTTTTATCTTGCGACTACAATAAAGAAGCGTCAATTTTTGGTGTAAAGTTGCCCTATCGGCAGTAAAACTAATTATCTTGCAAAAAAAACCTGCTAGAGTCATTGTAAATGTACCAGCCGAAATGAAAATTACAACAATGTTAAAGCAACTATTTGCACATGAATAACCAGAGGCGTCGAAACCACAGAGACAGACGGGGCAATAGGCAGCTGCCACCACTGCTCTTAGCTCACGATGAAAAACAGGGGTAGTTCAAAGACAGTGGCTTACTTTTTCCAGTATTTCATAGTAATTCACGTTTCTCATTAGTTCAAATTCCTCAGGATATGTTGACTTGACGGCGTTGTTCAGCTCGCAATTTGTGCCGGAATGAGACTGTTTTTCTTTATTGAAATTTATCGATTTGCAAGCGGGATGCCTTGTCAAGCATTTCTGAGCGCAGTGGAAAGCATCCAATGCACTATATTCGTGGGTCACATGACCAACCAATCTGTAACCTGAAGCGAAAGGAAATTTATACTATGAAAGTATCAACGAGAGAAACATAATGGATTCCTTGAATGAACGAAGAATAATTCCATCCTCTTCTCAAAATGGCTTGTCAATAAAAAAAATTATTTGGTAAAAAACAAAATGAGATATTTATGTGAACCAAATGCTCTCGCCATTTTCGCATGATTAAGATTAAGGCTGCATGCATGGTTTTCATTTAGTCGCAATTGTTGTGAACGTGGCAGGGTGGTTGATGCGTTAGAAAAAGAATTGTTGGTATGCGTTTAAAGTGGCCAAATGCGAATGACATTTTACATTTACATATACAGTACATAGAAGAAGGAAAAAGGAGATAATAAGTGATTTCCTATTGAACGAGTCCACAGCGGTGAAGATGGCATGTTTACGACACTAGACCTTTGTAAGTATGTATGTATGTAAAACTTTATTTAAAGACACTTGCCCCGACAACAATAAGTTGATTTCCACGGGGGGCGTCTACACGATTAAAAATTACAAAAATGTAGGAAAATAAAAGCTATGTACAAGTTGGTGTGACCCCGGATATTATGGTTAGAATGTCTTAGAATATATTCCTTACATTGGAGTTACGTTTCAGCTGGCTTTGAATGCAATTAAAGTACCTTTAATTTGCATTATCGACTACTCTTTTATCTATGCAAGGAAATGCAATCAAATCACCGCAGCTGAAAAGAGCGTGCTGAAATTACTAGAAGTCCAAACTTTGGTTGCGTGATGTCGTAAATATGGAAAGTATATGGCCTTGCAAAGTTTACAAATTTGTATACTCTTTTATTTTACAAACGGGAATTGTTAGCAAGTTAAGCCAAAATAATGGTCTCTCATGGTGGTTGTATACCAAGTGCAACACCACTACAAATCTTTCTACCTAGCATGTCTTTTAATACTATGAATTTTACTAACAATTTGACTGAGAGCCTAGAACTTTTGCACAGTAAAGTACATCCCACGGTATTCTATAACATTTCGCATCCAAACTTTGCATTTCTAGTAATTCGGTACGCTCTTTTCAGCTGTGGTAATTTTATTTGGTTATCTTGCATAGGTAAAAAAGTAGTCTAAATGCAAACAGTCTATTATGACTAAAATAATGAAAAGCAGGGGGCGCTTGTATCAAGCCCGATTAGCTTAATGTTGCACTTGTCAAAATGAAATAAACGTCATTAAATAGGTCTGTCTTGAATGGGTTAACACGAATATTTTGTGTCTGAGTATGTCGTTGCATATTCGGAACAGTATCGTTGTGTTAAGGTTAAAAATCTATATTGTGCATGTTGAATAAAACGATATAAATTATTTGCTTTCTATTTTGAGCTTATAAGCTAAAGCGGCAAGATACAACCGGCACCTCCCCCTAAAGTCAACGCACAATTACAGAGCAATGTTGGATTTATCCTGACGTAAGCAGAATAAATTGTTAAATCCATGCACAAATCCGGAAGGAATAATTCTGTCAAAGTTCAACAAGAATGTAGTAGGTATCTAGACAGGGGCGCCGGAATATCGATAATAACGGGGGCAGATATTCATATATTCGTGTTCTGCATTATTAACTCCTTTTGAAATCGATTGTTTTTACGATCTGCGAACACGAATATATGAATATCTGCCCCCGTTATTATCGATATTCCGGCGCCCCTGTATCTAGAGCCGTCACTAGAAGCTTAATGTTGGAGGGGCAATGTGTATTCATATATTCATGTTCGTACAACCGTAGAAAAACAGCAAACAAAAGAGATCAGATCAGTCGGGCATACATAAGACGAATAATTATACAGTATGAATATGCCCCCCCCCCCCGATTAAGCTTCTAGCGCCGGGCCTGTGTGAATCGCATTTAGTTTATGATCCAATGTTTCCACAAGTTTGAAAACATGGTCATATTTGGGAAACTGGTTTTGAAAGCAAAATTTGTTTATTTCCCTTTAATGGGAATGAAAATAGGTCTAATGAACACAAGAAGCATTAGGCAGAACTGTATGGCAAGCTATCGTATACATACATTAACCGCGATTAACCTATATAGGCCAAACTCGGTGTGATCGCGGTTCACTCACTGGGGTTAAACCTCGGCCTTACTCAGTCTGACAGACATTTCTTAATATTTTTTAGATTTGGTTATTGTGTTGTCGTTCTCAGCTGTTCATAAAATTTCTTTCAAATATTTTTTAGAGGAATGGGCACACATAAATTTTATGAACCAATTTACCATAATTTTATGAAATTTCTTACCTGATGTTGCCAACTTAAACATGGAGCTTGATATCACAGAAATAGAAGTTTGCGTGCTCAGTAGCAAAAGAAAGAAAAGACGAATCCCGTGAACCTCCATGACACAGAGCAGATGGTCTTCAAATATTTCGACTGTGAAATTAAAAACAAAAAATTAATGAACTTGGGGCTCTACGGATTAAAAAATATCCCAACTTTGAGCCAGTGAGACTGGTGCATTTCGTTAGTTTGGTAGCCGATGCGTTTCAAATGTGCTTTGGTATCATGATATGAGCAAGCAGATTGTGATGTTGTGCAGAATTTTATTTCAGAAGACGTAGACAGTTCATTAATTGTAGCGTCAATCAACGTTATTAAAGGCCTCAATTTAATTTTAATTAAAGTCCCATTCAAATTTATATCGCCTTAAATTAATTGAAGGCCGCAACCGAAAAGAATATAATGAAAATGTAAATAGAAAATTCTGTAATAATTAAAAATTGTTTTATAGGTTTTGTCGCTTACGTTACTCAAAACACATGCACTTATACACAAAATCTGAAGCCTTGCAGATCACTTTAACTAGAAATAAATGCATGCAGCAACCCCTCGCCATTTCAAACGAAGCAAAATATTTCCTGAGCTAGCCAGACCTAACCTTCAATATTATGAAATGTCCTAAATGTAAAGCCGATAGCTGATGTTTCAAATATTTCGGAAACAAACACAGTCGTAAAGGTGAAGTGAAATCACCCGTTTTCCTGCTGCTTTCCGTTGCATTAAGTTATAGACTTTCGCAGTTTAAGTGAGAGTTAATACTTCATTATAGCTAAACCTTCAAAACATCAAAACAGCCCATGCAAATAATATAAATAACCAAGCAGTGAACGTCGAATGTTGTTTTTCGATTATTGAATTCGTGCAGTGATTGCAGTCGACTACATATAAACCTTTAAAGTGATATTTGTTATATTAAAACACCGAATTACACTTTTAAGGACTCTTTTGGAAGTTAAAACGATGATGTAAAGCCTTAATTAGTTAGTCGCAAAACCGAGCAAAACGACATACTGTACCAAGGTCATAAAATGTATTCGTACAGCAAACACGAAATAAACCTCGAAATAAACAAAATAGACTCCTACCATTTCAAGGATTATAATCGAGTTGTTTTCACCGCTAATTCCTCCAGTTCTGATAATATTTTAAACTCTTTCCAATGTTTTATGTCTTGTTTGATTCCACATTTCATATTTTGTTTTCGAGACATTTTTTTAAAAAATAGTTTGCAAAATGACAGTTAAATTGCTGACGTTTTCACTGAAACACAAACGTTTCGTCTTAGCCAATCAGGAAGTTGCTGATTACCAGTCTACACCAGTGAACTCTAAAAAGACTGGAACGATAACTTGGCCGCCATCTTTGAAGCCAGCACTGATGGCCGCCATGAAGGCCAAGAGTTGAAATTACACCACCAAAACAACGCCGGTTTTTATACACAAATCCTTCTCATCTGATCACGAATAAAAGCTTAAAACAAGCATTGACACTTAGATTTTACTAAAAAACAAGTTTTATGAACGTGAAAAGGTGCAAACCTATTTTTTTTGCGAGTTGAAGGCGAAGTTTTTTTTCGGCCCGTTCAAATTCTTTAAATATTTCAAGTACAAAGCTGGTACCTCGCCGGTTTTTACAGTAAGATGATGCGGATTACTTAGGTCTATCCAAAAAGGGTAAATTCGTTGTTTAAAGTTGAAGTGGTCAAATAAAAATTGCACTTTTGTCGCAATTTTTTGCCAAAAAATACGATTTTTACGGAATTTTCACTCTCCCCAGTTCTTTTGAAGGCTTGATTTGCTCGCTCGGCTGCCGCCTTAATCAGCAAATTATATTCAAATCGGCTTCATCCAATGACTAGTCTTTATTGTTGAGTTATCGTTCCAGTCTTATTAGAGTTCACTGGTCTACACTCGTTCGCATTTTGCGCATGCGCACAAATACCATGACCATGGAACGTCCATGACATTTGGGCAACTTTGGATTCCGCTATGTTCTCCAGGGTCCCAGGTGTAATTCCTAATCTCCGGGCGGAATTAGTACCCTCGCACGGTGCTCCGCACCGGCTCGGGGATTATTGATATGATGTCACATGTACCCTTATGCGTAACTAAACTTAGAGGTATAAGTTAAAACTAAATTCCCTACCGTAATGTGTTTGACTATTGTTGTTTTCTGAAGATTGGTGTGCTTTTGCCAAATATACAGGATGTCTAAAAAATTGAAATCGCCACTTCATGCCGTAATTCATTAAATATTAATCGAGTGCAGCAATTTAATTTTTACACAGTAGAACAGACGAGTTATTCAGCTTTCTAAGAAAGGTTGGTTTGATTGCATTTTTCTGTCAGTGTACGTCCGAAATTTCCCTCTAGTTATACGGAATATGTTTTAAATAATCTACGACCTGATACGTCTTGTACATAAGTTTTTTTCTGGTACATAAGGGTTTTCATTGTTGTTTTTATTATGGATGCAATACGAATAATCTAATCCAGAGGCGGCGAGGAGAGTCCGCCGAGAGATTTATTGCGCCCGGCTATTGTGGCAGAACATAGCAGAATCCAAAGTTATCCAAATAGATCAAATTCTATGTCATTTTGGACGTTCAATGGTCGTGGCCTTCAAGTTCATCGTTCCAACCCGTTTTGCTCTGACAAATTTGTTGAGATAGTATCTTCATCTTCATTTCTGTTTCAAAATATTGCAATAAAAATTTTCGCCGTGAGACTTAGCACTGAACGTTTTGTTGCAATGTAACATGTTTTATTGCTCAGGTAAAAAAAAACTCGTCCGAATACGTGTTACAGTTCATTCTAAGAACTTCAGCTGTAGTTTCATTCAATTAATTCGTCGTCGTCGGTCGTATGAGCATCCTGTGTATCCTCGGATGTTCAGAGCGTGCGTTTGAGTTTTGATCAATTTTGATCAATTTTAACAAACTACGAGAGTTCGATTGCCATTTGCGGTGAATCCTTTTGCCGCCATGATTTCATTCGCCTTTTTGTATACTTTGAAGGCGTTAAAATCATCATCGTCCACGGTGATCAAATCATCAACATACAAGGAATCCTCATGCTCACTTTGTTGCAAAAAGCTCTGCACACTGAATTGTCTTGACTGCCTCAATCATGCATTGTAGCTATATACGTGCTTTAATGAACAAAAATTATAAGCGTGACCTGCTGTGGAAATTGACGAGGAAACTGCCGAAGCGACATCATGGCGCTCACCCAGCGGCGGAAAATGGCAATTCGACAGCAAACAGTTGTCAGTCACTTGGCTTACAAAAAGCCAGAATATTCAACTCGGTGGTGAGAAGGGCAATGACATAAAGGCACGTATACATTTATTTTTAAAGCAAGATCAAGACAGTGTTTCTGAAGTCGCTAGTCCTGAGTTAGATCTCCATCGGTCGATTGAAAATTTATTACTTGACGATCCCGATACTAGCGATTATGCACCTGAAGAGTCGTTCAGTGACCAGTCTAATGTTTCAAAGGCATTGAAAAATCTAAATCAAAGTGAAAAACAAGCCAGCAAAGATTCTGAAATCGGCTCAAACCAGGATGAATCACATACGGAATTTGAAAATTTGCATAAAAAGTCTGTTGATCTGCATACAGTGACAGCGCAAACAAACTCTCGAAATTGGCACAATCCCTCCAAAGTGTGTCTGGCAAACTGCAGAACCTAACAGATGAGATTAACCACATCAAAGAAAACAAGCCCTACTCTATCCTGGTCTTAGAGAACGTAATTAACGATCTAAAGAAAGATAAGCTTGATCTATGTAAAAAGAACGACGAACTAAGGGCACAAAATGCTGATATGATTCATACTATATCAGATCTGAAAATAGCTAACAAGAATCTGGAGAGTGAAAAAAACAGCTTATTGACAGCCCTGAAATTAATCCATAACGACCATCAACAAAGAAAAGAGGGCGAAAATATTGTTCAGTTGGTCTGCGAAACAAAAGAGGGAAGTGAAGTCACTCAACCAAATCAGCCTAATGGCAAGAAAAAAAAACAAAGGAAGAATAAAGACGGTGAAACAACGCAGCAATCAAGTAATCATTTAAATGACCATGTCACTTCACCGGATCTCAACCAAGCAGCCCCAGATGCGTCATTGCCTCGTGGCCCTTCATCGCATTCTGACCTTCCATCGCCTCCTAACGCTTCAACAGCAATACCAAAAACGAGTAAACCTACCGCTAGTGCTAATGACGAACGCGCCAAGGATCAATCTCCAAATAAGAGTAAGGAGAAAGACGTTGTGGTGATTGCCGGCGATTCGTTAGTAAAGAATATGGTCGGTGCATATATGAGCAAAGAGGATCCTGAACACTATTATGTTGTAAAAGCATTCTCAGGTGCAACTGTCACCGATATGGAAGATTTTATCAAACCCATTACTCGGAAGTCACCGAACAAAGTTATTATTCATGTTGGCACAAACGACCTGAAGAAAAATTCTACTCCAAGAGTAATTGCTGATTCCATTATAAATCTGACGACTCAGATTAAAGAGGACTCGCCAAATACAACGGTAGGTGTATCAGCGTTGTTAGTAAGAAATGATGCCCCGAATCTAGCCACTAAAGTAAAGCAAGTAAACTTCATTTTGGATAATTATTGTCGTATGAACAAGATTCCTTTCTTACGAAACGCTAATATCAACCATAATCATCTGAACAAAAGAGGGGTGCATTTAAACAAATTAGGTAGCTTATCTTTACAAAATAATTTTATTGAATTTTCAAATAATTTAGATAGTAATTGACATGATACCGTGTCGTTTAGAGCTGATGCTTCAGTAATTAATACGCAATCTTCGCAAACTACTAGTTCTAAAAGTCTAAACCTGCATTTACCTAAAATGAGTGGCTTTAAACTTGCATCACTTAATATTACTAGCTTAGTTAAGCATATCGATGAGTTGAGAGTCTATCTAACTGATAACATGATTGATGTATTGGCCATTAATGAGACAAGGCTTGATTCTATGGTTAGTGATAATGAAGTGCACATAAATGGCTATGAAATTGTTCGTCGGGATAGAAACACAAACGGTAGATATGGGGGAGGTGTTTGTTTTT